CGCACACACACACACACACACACACACACACACACATTAACACCCTCTCCTGGATACAGACCAATGAATGAAACACAGGTTAATAAAAAATAAATCTACAAATTCAAATCAAAGACTAAATTTTAAAGGACACAAATTTGAAAGAAAATGTCTGATGTTGATTAATATCAAAATGTTTTTATTTGCAGTTCGGCGTGGGTGGGTCCAAAGCCTCTTTTACCCCATTCGTTGATCCTCGTGTCTATCAAACATCCCCAAGTGACAATGACGATGAGAACTCGGCGGCAGGTACAGAAAACCTACGGAAGCTTTGGTCACATAGTTCACTAGCATCTGTTTTACAATAAAAGAAAATCAAACATTTCTTCATCTCTTTTCCCATATTTCTCTTCTTCTGTGGTGCCGCAGCCATGTTTGAAAATGAGCTGCTGAGGCAGGAGCAGGCTCGACTAAACGAAGCCAGAAAGATCTCCGTGGTCAACGTCAACCCCACCAATATCAGGCCGCACAGTGACACGCCTGAGATCCGCAAATACAAGAAACGCTTCAACTCGGAGATCCTTTGTGCTGCACTCTGGGGTGAGAGGCTACATCTTCTGTCCTCTCCACCACAGAACAACATCCCAACCTCTGTTTGTGTGTGTGTGTGGATCTCTCTGTGCCTCTAACTCTTGTATGTACTGTGTGTGTGTGTGTAGGTGTGAACCTGCTGGTGGGGACAGAGAATGGTCTAATGCTGCTTGACCGGAGCGGACAGGGCAAAGTCTATAACCTCATCACCAGACGGCGCTTCCTGCAGATGGATGTGTTGGAAGGGCTCAATGTGCTCGTCACCATATCTGGTAGGTCTGACACACACTTACACACACATCCACCATATCTGGATTGATTTTTATGCCTCTGTGCTGGCAGAAGCCAATTAGTTATGTTTTCTGGTTGTTGGTTCTATATTTGCGAACATGATGTCAAATGTCAAAGGTCATGGTCACTGTGATGTCATTTTTTGCTTTGTGAACATGAGATCTCAAGAAAGCCTTGAGAGAAATTCCTCAAATTTGGCAGAAATGTTCACAACATGTTTTTGGTCTTTTGGACATGATATCTCAAGGCTGCCTTTCTGGAATTTCTTCAATTAACTGATAGATCTCAGTAGTCAAAGGTCGCAGTGACCTCATATGAATCTGGAAGCAAGATTGAAACAGCACAGGTTGGGGGAGGCATACAACTGCAGTGCGACATTTCTACTTTTAACAGATGTTTTCTATTTAACCCCAACAATGTGAAACATAGATATACCAAAGGAAAGGCATGAGCACTACCGTCACCTTGTTTTTCTTTTTTGAACCTCCTGTCTACCACATAAAAGACAGACCATAGCATATATTATTATCTGTCATTATATGAATATTCCCAGGAAAAGAAAAGGCCTGTGTATTTTTCTAAAAGTAAAAATCTAGGAAAGTCCTAGGAAATCTGCCTTTGTGTGTGCTGTTTACGTCTGAATACGTTTCTTATTTACTTTAGGTTTTGCCACTTCATCCGAGTGAATTTGATCTCGTGTCTCTTTCTCCTACTGTCCCTCCTCTCTCAGGGAAAAAGAATAAGTTGCGTGTCTACTACTTGTCCTGGCTGAGGAACCGAATATTACACAATGACCCTGAGGTAGAAAAGAAGCAGGGTTGGATAACAGTTGGCGAGCTGGAGGGCTGTGTGCATTATAAAGTTGGTACGTGTTTGTGCATGCTTGTTTGTCTATGTGCTGACACACTGATTCTTTTAAGTGAGTAATATTCTGCATTCAGGAAATACACTTTTATGCATTGGTGTTAATAACGTAAACACACAAAGACTTAATATATAGGTAAAATGTAAACTGTGAATTAAAAATATAAAGCAGCTTTCAGAACAGTTTTTTGTTGTTGTATAAGTGATCTATTTTTCTTTCAACTGCATTTTACCTTTAGTATTTGATGCATCTCAGTACGTTTAATGCTGTAAAGGGAAGTTGATTTGCAGCCCAAAAATGAGCTTTTAGAATTATATACTGGTTATTCTAACAAATTGACTTTTTGGCAGATCTTCCCCTTCATGTTTTTAATCTCATCAAATGCAAAGAGATTCAGACCAGTTACCCCTTTAGCTTTAGCTTAAGGTTTACAAATATGGTCCTAGTGTTAAGGAGCTTTCAACTTGAATAAATAGTTTAATGTGCATGACGCTTTTCTCCGTTGAAACAAACATTAAAATAAATCTGAGTGAACTCAGCATGTATATATACGTCTTTATGTTTGTAGTAAAATATGAGAGGATAAAGTTCCTGGTGATCGCTCTGAAGAACTCAGTGGAAATCTACGCCTGGGCTCCCAAACCCTACCACAAGTTCATGGCCTTCAAGGTATGAAAATGATCACTTCCCTCCCCCCCATCTCCTAAACTCCTTCATCAGCCTCCAACCATAGGTAACTGATACATCTCTTGCTTTCCAGTCATTCACCGAGCTGCAGCACCGTCCCCAGCTTGTTGACCTGACGGTGGAGGAAGGCCAAAGGTTAAAGGTCATCTATGGCTCCAGCGTGGGCTTCCATGTCATTGACGTGGACTCGGGCAACCCTTACGACATCTACATCCCCTCACATGTAAGTGCGGAGCTGTGTGTTTGTACATTTCTATGTAATCTTCAAATCTTCAATAAACTGTAAAATAATAATAATCCTGAAATCAACATATTTTCAAACATTTTCCCCCCATGTCAGTTTTCATTTAGTTAATATTATTGTCGCTCCGTCAACTCTTGGGAGCGAGGTAGATCATCGGTACTTTTTCTGTTTGCGTGCTTGAACACATCAGTTTTTGGTTCATGCGTGCAGATTAGTGTTTTTTCCATGGTGGCATCACTAATCGCATGCTTTTACTCCAATTAGTTCAAATGCCAAACTCCTGATGATTTTATGGCCAAATTTCAGTAAATCTAAACCACTTATTACAAAGATGAGGACACGCAAATGTGCCAACCTTCCAAGTGGACACACCATGGAACATGTATTGAAATTTTTCATGACCTATCATCCTTGCTTCCTCTCTCTCCTTTCCTGACTTCTCTCCTCCAGTGTGCCAAACAGACGAAGGTGACGTCCTGCCCTCCACCTCGTAGACTAGATCGTTAGATCCTTAGTTAAACCTCATAGAAGATGCAGAGAAGCACTGTGTCCACCTCCAGTACAGTTCATTAGTGTAGACATTAAAGGATTAACTTCGCTAGATTTCGGTTTGTGTGAATAAAATTCATCTTACCCACAGCAGACGTCACTTTGACACATGGAAATATGTCTTTGCTACGAGGAGATGTTTCAGTAATATTTATTTTATTTAAAAATGTTCTTTTGAATCTCAGCAACCAATCAATAACATACTATACAGTATGATAAGTTACGTTACATTCTCATATTTAATATGTGTGCAGTAAGCTACTTTATTAAAGGAGACATATGATGCTATTTCAGTTGATCGTTCCTCAAATGTGTTTTTATCTTCTTCGTGTATGTGTAAGTTCTGCAAAGATAAAAAACAAAGTATGCGGTAAAAGGAAGCTCCTCTCCTCTGCAGAAAAGCCTGAAGCTCCAGAAACACCTTGTCAGTTGTCATGTCGATACTTGTGCAACATTCCAACAAAGTCATTTAAGAGCCGTGTCTTAATTGACTGGGCTGCTTCCATCAGAGGACGCTGCATGTGAAGACCAATTGCGTCACAGTGGCACATTAAGACTGTCCCTTTTTGAAGGCTTCAGTCAAATGTGTCCTTCGGTCCTTGAGAAGCAAAGGCTCCAGTGGGCGGGTCCCTCCGAATCTAAGATATCCCAGAACTCATCACTTCGGCGACAAACCGTTTTTAATGGCATTGGCAAGCAACGAGATGTAAGAAGTGCTTAAGTATCTGGTCTTCAGCTCAATCGAACAGCTTGTTAAAAAACAAGGAGGCATTCAAGTGTTGTCATCACATCCAACTGCAGCTCTGTTGCAAGGCAACAAGAGGAAGGGCGGGACGAGCTGGTGACGCCAATCACAGAAATTCTCTGTAGAACGGACAGACTCATTTGTGTTCTGCCACGTCCTCTGAAGGCTGCACCTCTGTTAACTAAGACACAGCTACAGCCAGAGCCGGGGCCGACATCACAACAGAGAGCGCCAACTGGCCAATCAGAGCAGACTGGGCCTGAAGAGACAGGAACTAAAACCAAGTGTTTCAAACAGAGGCTGACAGAGGAGCTGCAACAATGGACAATATGAGGACAGTGATGTGTTTTCTGAACATTAGAGCCTGTTTCTTTTTTTCCTGTAATAACACAATTCAAAATTATGAAACTGAAAATGAGCAGAATATGTCTCCTCTAATGTGGTCAGGGAAGCAGTACGTATATGTGCCATTTTTAAAGCTTCTTGTGGGCTAAGATTAGTTTTTTTCACAACCGTGTCACTCATTTTTTGTACTTACTGTATATGATACTTGTCGTGCTCCATATCTAACGTTGCTCTGCTGGCTCAGAGAATCAGGTTTGTCCTACACTTTTAGGTGCACAGAATCCATCACTGTCCATATGTGTGTGTTATCCTTCCCTCCTGATGTTATTCCTGTTAATTAATGTCGTAGAAAAAGTGCCATCATTTGTCGTTTAGCTTATTTTACGGGACAAACGCGTCTCAGGTAACGATCCAAAGTTTGGACCTTTCGATGCTCCTGATATTTGGCAAACTGTGGATAGCTCTTTAGAGGATTATGCCACGCACATAGAAAATTAAATGTAATAAAAAAAGCTTTCTATTGCAGTGCTGAAACATGTTGTACTTTAATGTAGATGGTGGCAGATGGTGCTTTTATGTTGAGCAGATGTTATTGAATCCTGACGAATCTTGTTGCGTTTGTATCTGTTCTAGATCCAGAGCCAGGTGATGCCCCATGCCATCGTGGTGCTGCCAAAAACTGATGGAATGGAGATGCTGCTGTGTTACGAGGACGAGGGTGTTTACGTCAACACCTACGGTCGTATCACCAAGGATGTGGTGCTTCAGTGGGGAGAGATGCCTACCTCTGTTGGTAAGTCCCCCCCGTGTATTTAACTGTGTTTGGTTCATTGAAATGGATTCCTATAACAGGGGGGGTCATTAAAACATCTTACAGATACACTGTTCAAAGATCAAACTCTTTAGTTATGAGGTTAAAATAAGTGCAAGGACAGGCCATTACTGATTTCAGCATCTGTGTGGGTGCGCCTGTGTCGCAATACAAAGTGTTTTGAGGTATCTAAGAACTGAGCTTATAGGGGTTCATTTAAAGTTACAGTATGAAGAATTTTGTGATATCTAGTGTTGAAATTGCATGTTGCAGCTGAACACCCCTCACCTCACCCGCTCCTTCCAAACATGACAGAGAACCTGTGGTATATCATAAAAACTCAAAAGGTGTTTAGTTTGTCCAGTCTGGACTAATGTAAAAAACATGGCGCCCTCCATAGAGAGGGTCCCCTCGATGTAAATATGAATATATTTGAATATAAAGGGCTTTTTCTGGGGTAAAGAAAACTACAATTCATACAATTTAGATGAAATTAACTAGTGAAAACATCATGAGGATTATTCTACATTAAATTTCTGCCAATAGTTCCCTTTCACCTAAATCTTACACACTGGACCTTTAAGGCTCAGAAGGAAAGGTCTCCAGAGCTGCTTTGCAGGCGTAAGAAAAAAGATTTTAGAGGGACTGAGGGTAAAAGCTCAGTGAAAGAAACAAGGATCTACATAAACATTAGCCAATATAAGAGAAAACGTGAAGGAAACACAGGAAGAGAGAGTTTGCAAGAGTCTGAGAGATGTGGATGAGCGCTGGATCAACAGAAACTACACTTGTACTTTATCGTCCTCATGTGGCTGCCAGGGGTATTACACTTTTATAATTACCTCTACTTCCACTAGCCTTGGTGTTTCCAGATCGTATAATGTTCGTGCATTTGATTACGATACAACCACTGTGGATAGACAGGTCCCATGAACTGACCTGTTGCTTAGTAGTCCACCCTGACTTCTGAGTAAAAAGCAAAGAATATTACCTCATTGTGAAATACATTACATCATCTTACAGCTTGACATTACTAAAACCTAGTAGGAATAATGAATCAGAAGTCCCCTTAAAAACATATATATCAGTCTCCTAAATATGTATTTTTATTTCATCAAGATCAATTATTTATTCCCTTGTGAACACTTTATTTAGCAACATTAAAGAAAGTGAAAATCCGGATCCGAATCCGCGCCAAACTAATTGTTTCCTCCCTGACCCATATGGAATCCCATATGGAATCCTTCCACCGAGGTTTTGTGGTTGTGTGTCCAGTAGTTTTTATGTAATCATGCTGAAAAACAAACCAACAAACCGACAAGGACAAAGTTATTGTCATTAGCAAGAAGTTGTAATTTTGGTTTTATTGTTTTGTTACTGACGCCTTGTGTTTTCTCCTCTCCAGCCTATATCCATTCTAATCAGATCATGGGCTGGGGTGAAAAAGCCATAGAGATCCGCTCCGTGGAGACGGGTCATCTGGACGGAGTCTTTATGCACAAGAGAGCCCAGAGACTGAAGTTCCTCTGTGAGCGGAATGACAAGGTAAGACCCAGTCGGAATGTGCTCTTTTGTTTCTCAGGACCTCAAGGAAAATACTGAATACTGGGAAATACGTGACCTGCTCTGGTTTTGACTTGCGCCCTCTAGTTAGGTCGATGTCATCACTGCTTCGATGATATCACTTAAAAATGATATGTGTGAAAGAAGTAGCCTTTATGAAAAATAATACAAATGAAATAAACTATATTATTAATTGCCTGTTTTTTATTTATATTATTACAAAATAATATTAGATAATTATAATATTCAGAAATTATAGCTGAAAATAATCATTTGTAATATCTTCTTCCTCTCTAGGTGTTCTTTGCATCAGTGCGTTCGGGAGGCAGCAGCCAAGTCTTCTTCATGACCCTCAACAGAAATTCCATGATGAACTGGTGAAGGCTCCTCCCACACTCTGCTCTGCCTCGCTCTCCCATTGGCCAGCCCGGCGACCCACCCCGGCCCACGACACGTCTCACAAAAGGATCCGACTGCCCGCGTGGCCGCGACTGAACTCTTTTAACACTGGAGAGACTAAAAACATTTAGCTAACAAAAAAAAACGGATATCGTAGAGAAAAACAAACAAAGACTTTGTTCTAAATAAAGAGACGTGTTACCCTAGATCACATCAGGGTCATACAGAAGCCATCTTTCCTCAGCTGACTGGCAAACTAGTGCCACTGACTTTCCAAATATTCTCTCTTTTCCCCTCTTTCTGTGTCCGTCTGTCTGTAACTCTTCTACCTTTTTTGTCCGTCTCTTCTCCGCAAGAGGACGAGCGCATTCAGCAACTATAGAAAACACTTTGGACCCGTCTCCCCTGTCGCTCGTCCTCTACCTTTCTTCTTCTGCTCCTTCCTGCTAGAACAAGTGATCACTTTTCCAGCCCTCTGACACCTCAATTTCTCCCTCCCTTCCTGTCCGCCGTGTGAGAACTGAGCCTCAAGGGATGGAGGACGAGCAGATGAGTGAGGTTTAATATGAATTTAAATAAATACTTCTGGATATGACAGTGCAGGGAGGGCGGCTGAGAGGGATGACAAATCTACTCTGGATGTCGGTGGGGGAAGGCAGACAGCCTGATTGATTTTCTTTCTCCTCTGTCACTCCTCCTCCTCCTCCTCTTCCTCTCGTCATCTTTCCGGGTAAACTGAGTTGTGACTTGGTGTTCGATCGCATCTCACTGATAGAGATGCGGTGAGACCTTGCCGTCACGGGCAGGTCGCAATAGTATGCAAAGATGATGTCTGTGTCCCTTTAAAATGAAACCACTGGTCCGTTGTGTGTCACACCCTCTTCATCATCACACTCTTTATACTCTGAAGGTGCTGCATCAGATATACTGTAATATTCAACGAGGGAGTCGTTCTGCTCGTTGTGTTTATTTTTTCTGTTCCTCTTCCTCGTCAGTCGGTCGTTGAAGCTCGATGTACAGCACGTGTCTCTGAAGTCAGGAGCGTGTGTTGATATGTGTGTGAATGCGTGTGTGTGTTTAACTCTGTCACAATGACTCACGTTCGAATCAAAGTTGGATGTTTGACGTCCACGAAAAAAAGGTCAAGTAATTCTGTCTCTGTGCGTGAACTTCTACTTTAATGAGATCAAAGCACCGCTGAGTGTGTTTACAAGCAGATTTACTGTATTTTCTTCCTAGTATGAGTTGGTGTTTGCGAACACCATGCATTTTAAGAAAATAGGCAATATTAGTGGATGATTTGTGTTATGTTCTGTCGTATGTTTCTGTTTCCTTTAACATTTTGATGTTACTGGCTTCTCACGCCTGCAGCCGTGTCGCTGTGGTAGATAGGATGATGCACATGAATATACGACCTGAGCGGGTTAAGAGCCGTGATCCTCAACATTTGTGCGCACGTGAAAAAGCACTCTTCGTCAAAAGCTGTGGTGTCATGCTCCTCCCTGATTGGCTCTTCTGACTTTTGGCTCCTTACTGTTTGCACAGTGCCTAGCATGAAGTAAGCAAAACTAAAATGAGGCCAAGAGATTACCACTCATCATGAATAATGATTTTATTGCCTATGCGGTTACTTTACACAGTTTTTTAACTTTAACACGTGATGTAATTTGTCTCTTCTGATGAAGATGTGACTTTAACAACTTTTTAGACTTGATTCATTCTTTGAAAGGAGTAACTGAATAGAACTCTTTGCCATTTCTCTCTCGATATCTAGCACAGCTCAGTCATTAATGCATATTGTATTAAATTTGCAACACTATCAAGGGTGGACGGGTTCCTGCTCATCCTCATTGTCCGAGAGCAATGAAATGCAGATGAGTGTTTTATCCCCTGGTGGATATTCTGCAGGTCAGTCAGCATGTTGGCCTGTGGTTACAAGAAATTTACGATGGCACAAAAATAGGCTCATTCCGCAGTTATGTAACGATCATTCGAATACATTTTTCTGTCAAATTATTGAAATCATTCTGTTGTATTTCCAATGACTTTTCTACACGTCCATGCAGTAGCTGTTCCTGCGGAGCTGTTAGGTTCACTGAGAGCAGGCTAACATTTAGCAATAAAGAGCTGAGCTGAAGAAACCACCGTCTTCCCTGTGTGTGTGTGTGTGTGTGTGTGTGTGTGTGTGTGTGTGTGTGT